CTGGTTAATACCAAATTATGTATTTGCATAAATCTAGCGTCCATGGCAACCTCTTGGGCTAAGACCTAGTTTAGCCAATGAAATTTTACTGCGTATGTAATGTATGTGAGCAAAATTCAGCATGGCGGATGTGTGTACATGGGAGAGACCCTTGCTGTCGAAAATTTGAGTAAAATCGGTCAAATTGTGCCTGTATTCGACGAAAACACGTTGCTATGGTAGAGTTCAACAAGCACACCCTATGAAATCGACTGAAAACTTTGATTTCAATTTGCAAAAGGCCCGAATTTTTTCCAGCAAAGCAAGAATCACAAGAGAAGACTTCAAACCTTAATGAACAACTGACAGAGGTAAGTGTTTTAATCCGAATTGTTTTAGACTCCTCTCGAGGCGCTTTTAATATGTTAAGATCGGCCGTTATGCAACTTCATTTTGAATTTCGGAGGTACTGAATTTTAAGCAAAACAGTCTGTGAACGACTGGAGAGCTTTAGTTTTGGTTCCAAAGAGTGCGGTAACACTTTTATTTATCTAAATTAGTACTTGAGCAAATAAATTACACTAGATTTACAGACATAGTACTCGTTCTTAGTCAATGAACCGATACATTGCAAGTGAAAAGGCAGGAGATTTACTCGTTCGCTTTTCGTTTTAAATTTCTCTCTTTAGGTTTGGGAGCTTTCCGGACTCGTGGCAATGTGGTGGTTAACAAGGATTTGACGTAATCTCGTGTCCTTTTTCTTCACATGGTCAAAATGCTGGGACTGGGTGTTGAAGGAGTGTTGAAGGAGTGTATTCCTTCAATCCTTTGTTCACCATGGAATCCATTGTTGAAGAAAAGGGCAAACATGTTCTAGCATATGGAGCCTTAGTGTGATCATCATGTCTGTACAAAATAGGTGACCACGTCATAACCATAAAGGTCGTAAAACGGTGGCGCGTATGAGTAGTGTGAAAAATACACTGTCGTTACACTGCTACTTCTACGTCATGGTTAAAATCACATCTAGAAATGATAAAGTGTTCCTCTAGCGCATGCAGCCAATAAAATTATTTGTGCATTAATTTCTACAAGTTTTTCAAATCAAGGTACACTCTTTGTCGACCTTACTTTCCAACCCTATTACAGTCCGGGATAGGGTTTAATTATATGTTTTTGTTCAAAACAAAAACTACGAAGAAAGAAAAACTGATTTTCCTTACAGCTCCATTGCCTAGTTTACTTAATCAGACCCAACTCGTGCTACCATATCAAAGAAAATTAAAATAATTATATTATTTTTCTGATTAGTTTCTGTAATGAAATTAGAACGTAAGATACGTTAGTTAAGTAGCCATTATTATGATGTGATCATGTGAACACCTGAGAAAATGTAATTTCTGACGTTTGAGTGACATGGCAACAAATTAGTCAGAAATTAATATTCTGACGGCACGTTGAAGAGGTTCGCATGGAGTGGCAACATGGTAGTTTCGGATTATTTAAGCGTTTCGCGGGGAAAATTAAATCATTCTACGTCGGTCAGTGTTAGGTTTGACCACTTTCCTTTTTTTTTTTTTATTTAATGTAATTTTGTTTTACAACTCTGTAAAATATCACTGCTTTCATTAAATTTTCTGTGTGATTAGTAGTGTAACTAGGTTTATTTTAGTTACCCTTTCCTCGGGGTATAGTGCTGCTGCATTAGATGAGGAATACGTTTCCACATATTTTTTGGCCTCTTCTAAAGAGCGGTTTTTTAGTGGTTTTTCTTATCTGGCGTTGCACAGCCTATTTTTGTATAACCCTTCAGTTTCAGTGAGTACTTGCAGTACATTGCAGATTGTAGTAGGATGTGTAGACTACAAGACTGGCTGACTCATCCCAAATGAACTTTCACATTGAATATCTCGCCTGAGTGTAGTCAGCCTGTGGGCTAGCGTGCGAAGAAATTATAAGCACGTTTTCCACTTTTCTTTCATCTTTTTTTTTTCCACACATTTTCCGTTCTCGTTGGTTGCTCGTGATATCTTCCTCTTCCCTGATTTGCTGTTGTGTTTACTTTGGTTTTAATCTTGCGACACTCAAACGAAATGCGTATGCACTCTAGGTCACTGAGTTGAGTGGAGACCGACTTCAATAAGTCTTTAAATACATTTGCAATGAAGAGTCTAAGAAAAGCGTGAAATAAGTATGGCAAAAGAAAAACGACTCTATTAGCTGAGTTGAACTTTCTCTAATTACAAATTACGGATAATGCATAGCCTAAAAGACTGACAGCCCCTGACGTTCATTGGCTCGGCCTACATCCTGAAGTGAGGGGATTTAGTAGAGGGGAGGGGAGAGGAAGACAAAGAGTCGGTGGGGGATAAGGGGAACAGGTGGGAAGATAAGCATACACGCCCGTTACCACCCTGGATCAAAAGGAAGGTCGAGTAGATTATTCATAAATTCTATGAATTCGTCGTGAGAGCAAACTTCCCCAAATAAATATTAGTAAACTATCTTTTTCATCTAAAACGTTGTTTCCCTATGGGACGTAGACATAGCATGTAACAAAATGTTAAAACTATATCACTTAATACATTTAAAATACAAATCGGGAGGCACTTCAGCCTACGACATCATTTCATAGTTTTCATTAAGATGTCGCTAGTATACATATATTTTTTTTAAGGGGCGAAATGTCCCTTAGCATATGTGAGTAGCTTTTGCGAACAGTTTGCGGCTGCGGTCAAGTTGATCGATAGTCCACAAATCGTCTCTATTTTACAACGACGAAAACAAAATAAAAAAGAAAATTATGTCAAATGATCTCTAAATTTTTCAGCAAAAGACGGACTGAAACTTAATTACTAATTAACCAGCCAGGATTCCAGATCATTCGCACAAGACTCTGTTCGAAGGCGCTCTTTAGATTGTTTTCGTAACTCTGATTGTTCCACGAGTTAACTCGTTCCCAGTCTTTTTCATAACGCGCACGATTCGGGGGTTGCGGTTAAGAACAAGGGCATGATGGGAAGGGGAACACGAGGCACTGCTTGTACCATTTTGGCAAATGAAATCTTGTCGGCCGGCAGTATGATGGGTACTGAAGGCGACGGATTATCTTAATCAAACGTGAAGTTTCCACATTATAACTTGACCGTCCTCTCCACCGGTGACTACAGTACAGCCATCACTTGATACATCTATGCATCGAATGGCTCCTGGTGAGAAAAGAGAAGTAAATTGATTTCAATCAACAAATTTCATGCCGAAGACTAGCCTTTCCATGTACTTACGTGGTCTTCCTTTTTGCACTACAAAACTAAAACAGTGATGTAAAAAATTTTCCGGGTCGAATATAGCAAACTGCCTCTATTAAGCCTCATGACTGCAATCTTCCCAAGGGGTAAAGAGGCTTATCTTAAAGGTTGCTTACAATCGGAATCAGCATAAAAATAAAATGTATCTTAAATAGCTATAGTAGTGCTGATCGAACTACATTTCCTATTTTATGATTTGTGAACATGCTTTTTAAAGCTTGAAATTATAAAAGCTAGGGTAAGGCTTACATTGAGGTTAGAGGGAAAGGTTTTAACATCGGTTTTATCTTATTCGGTTGCTGAACATATGTTAACAGTGCGATAGTAACAGGGAAGAGAAAAAATTAGGGAGGTTTAGGTCGGGTCGCGTAATAGCCCGACCCAGACCTCGCTCACGTTCAATCTGCCTCTACTATCGCGCCGTTTACTATTTCGATCGTCTTACTAACTGAACGCCTGGAACAAGCTGGAAGGTTTCTCAGCGACTTACTCTCTTGTTTGTAATCAACAGAGCTACAGAATTTCAACATCGACGTGAAATTAAAAGTTTAAATCTTTGATCTACTTCACCTTCATGAGCTGTGATTCTGCTGACTTCCTGCACATTTATCAGATCCCAGATCTGGAGGTAGCCAGACTCACCACCAGCGAGTACCATCTGACCATCCCATACAGCACATCTAACAAAAAAGGAAATGGAAAGTCACTATATTAACAAAACCCTAAATATATGCATCAAACAATGTACAAAAATATTTTATTTTCCGTGCCTCTTTGAGTCCATTGCTAAAGAAGAGCCACCATAGGCGATTTCGACACTTTGAGGCCTATGAGATACTTATCTTCCACTAAGTACGTGCGCTAGGATTGTCTGAGCAAGGATCATGGGACATATAAAACTCAATTTACTCCCCAGTGGACCAAACCAAGGAAACAAACTGTGATGAACTACCTAATTTCCTCGCCCACATCTTTGGAATACACTTCTGTCCCTGTATGGACGTCCACCACTCTCATGAAATGGTCAGCGCCGCACGACAGAATCCGCTGTCCGTCTGAAATAAAAACGGTACCTGTTAGGTACTATCTAAATATGGATGACTGCAATATTACTTCCTTACGGATGAGCATAAAATAGGGCAACGGAGGATATTATCAAAGAAGATATTGTAAGGGGTTCAGTTGTGTAGATCTAAATCACTTGACCCCTAATCGTTCCTACCATCTAAATTCTCACACATTAAGGTCACGAGAATAAAAGAAATGATCACCGAAGGAAGCTCTTGATTGTTCAACAAATTCTCCTTGTTAGCATATAAAGAAATGTATAGAGAACAGTATGGAAAACAAGCATACTGAGGTTAGGGTGTAATGGGTTAAACTTCAGTAATTTGGCAGGTTTTCTCCCAATTCTTGGGTGTCTTAAACAAAACTTGCTTTCCTCAACGACGACAACGCCACGCTCTAGAACAGCGGACACAACGCAAGTACATTGGAAACAACGCATGCCTGATAAGGAATAACGCTGGACAAGGACGGCGCTAACTGACGCCTAAGAAGCTAACAGAACGCCTGTAAAACGCTACTGACAAGATTTGCTCCTAGTCGTTACTTATGTTACATTCCATTTAACTATATGTACAGTTTGATGCAAAGAAATCTGCCTGTCTTACCCGGGCTGAAAAGAACTGAATGCACAGTCTCCTTATGAACTAATGCAGAGCAAAAGAAACATTCGTTAACTTTTCTCGCAAACAGAATTATCGACTACAAGACAAAGTGTTTGAGTGATAATCAAACTCGGAAATAGAATGCTTAGAATGAGCTGTTTAATAGACGTCAAGGCTGCTGCGTGAAGCGCTCTCTGTTTTTTTAAGGGAAGTGTTCACCACCCTCCTGGCAGAAAAGAATGCCTAATTGTAGAATATCGGGGGGATTTCAATTTCATTTATCATTAAAAAGACCGTTTTTCGACGAAGATGGGGTCGGTAAGGCACCTTCTAGCCCTCCCTTCCCAACCACATTTTCGCCCACAAATCAATTAAAGGAGTTTGAAGAGGTTGAAAGTAGAAGTTTGTCCTTTCCACCCACCCAACCCTCCCTCTCCAACTCTGTTCGCTTGTAGTGGTTTTGCATTAAGAAAACAGGAAGGGTTTCAAACGATAGAACCATCCGACAGCCCGTCAACAAGCGACGGACGGATCCCTTATGAACTATGCAATCAAAACGGAAAAAATTTCTGGTTGAATTTAAAATTTCTCTTGAGTGGTCAAAAGAAAGAGAGTCGACTGCTTGGGTTAAGATTTCTTTACTTTCAATCAATTTTCTTCTATTCATTTGTAGTTCTCCGAAACTTGTAGTTCTCTAAATTGAACGCTGTACTCACTTGGGTGATGACTGATGGCCGCTTGTTGATCAATGTTCCAAAGCATTACAGTTCCTAACAATCAGAAGAAAACAGCGATCAATTACTATCGGGAGGATGGGTGTGGAAACGACGTTGGCGTGGGGAGGGAATAAGATACGTCATAAGCCAAAGAGGTGCTTACCATCCATGGTGCCTGTTACCACAAGAGTGTTTGTAGGATCAAGATCTACAGAGTTCACCTTCAAAAAATACGAAAACCAAGATTTAGAATGAAATCAAAAGACGAGAATTAAGATGGAACAGAGGAAACGATTCACATACTTCGAAAAACATACGACAAACATACCTCAGTGTCATGTTCGAGCTCAGCCTGGAAAGAAAATGGAAGACAAACAAATGAATTGTATGTTTAAGAACAAGAATATGTCTTAGCCAGATTCTCAGCTGATATCAACATGACAAACAAGGACTGAATGTAAAACAACTCCCAGTCCATTGAAAGAACTTCTGACAAGAAAATACCGTATGTTTCTTTTCTTAGAGCCAGATCTTTTTTGGACTTGTACCGCATTATAAGTAATCAATAATAACCGCTTTATATAACTTTGCTCTAACGACCGAGTTCCAAGAGCACTAACTCAAGGCTGTTGCTCAGTCCCTTTTTTCCGTGTTGAAATCCGCCATCTTGAATTGCTATGTAGACTACCGCGATACCTCCGGTCCCAAACTTTGTTTTCCCGTTTCCTGTTTTACAAACATCCCTTTATCTAATAGGAATTAAAACGCGCACTTTACCAAAATTTCAGGCGGCGAGGGTTTCTTGCCATCCGGTTCTGGAAAGAACTTCCACACCTTGGAGTGAATAAAATTTAACAGATACATAAATGTAACCCGGCGTAAACTATAATCACACACGTAAACGCTTTCTTTACAGTGGAAATAAACTCCAGTACAGGGTCTCCACTCGACAACAAACAAATAATCCAAACCAAACGTAACATGACAAAAATCTTCGGTCACCAGGAGGTAGACAACGGTATTTAAGTTGTACTGGAACTTCTGCGAAAAAATTCCGTTGGTGTTCAGAGCTGGACTCGAATTCAGAATCCTCGAAATACCAGGCTAACGTACTCGTCACGAAAACTTGCTGCCTCTCCCGTTTAAATAATTTAGTTTTTGAAACAGGTTCAAATGTCTGAAAAAGTTTCCGAATCGTTATTGAGGCAGATTTAGGCTATAAGCAAGCCGTAAGTTAGCAACTTCTCTGCAGCATGAAAACTCGTTGGTTTCCGGATTGAAGGAGACAGGAGGGGAACAATACTTTTTAAAACATTGTTCGTCATTTACCTTTCGTAAAAAGTTGATTTAATGAATCCTAACGTAGCCACTGAAAAAGTCAAGCTTACCTTGACTGTAGAATCCCACGAAGCAGTCACTAAGATACCATCATTCCAGCACAAACATGAAACTAAGGAACGAGGGAGAGTATTAAAATTCAATGTTTTTCACTTCATTTCTCATCACAAAACACGTTCTACAGTGTCCGTCCCGTTATCAACGACATAAGTCCCAAAATATGATCTCGTGTCCGGCCCAAAAAGACTGTCAAGCTGAAGATTTGGAAATATGTAGCGTGAGTTATTACCACTTGACTAATGCCTCGGTTATCTTTATGCAGGTACTCCCCTAAATTGCATTGTTCCGTCGAAAAACCAAAACCAAAGTAATCGTAACCACCAATCGGCAGAAAAAGCAAAATCCTCAAGTCAATACATGTGAAGAAGGGCGGGAAAACTCGTGAGACCAAGTCGGTGTTGGGCTTGGTTTAATAATTTATTGGTGGGGAAGTTTAGCGCGAGCTTCCCAGACAAATCAATCTGAGTAGAGTTAAAAACAAATTCTGGATTATTTTCAAAACGTAGTTTAAAATGATTATATTCAGTTCTTGTAGCTAATCCTTACTTGCATCGTCATGTCCCGCTTTGGTGTCCACAACTCTTCCATATTCAACAGAGTAAATGTAGCTAAAAACACAAAGAATGTTGTTAAATTAACACTCCAGAGCGATCGCTAAAAACTGTTGGGTATTCAGTGTCTTTCTATCCGCTGCCCTGGTAAGCAGGCGCTAAAGCAACCTTGAACGCAAGTTGAATAAAACAGGCGCTGAGCCTCGAGTCTTATCTTTGCGCACCTACATTCAGCGAAACTGCAAAGATTTGCAACTTACGTAAACAAAATTTTCTTTCTTCATTTTACCAAAATGCGAAAGCTCTTTTAACAATAGAGAGCTACTTTCAGAGCATGGTGTAAACTTGAAGGAGAAGTAGGGTGAAACCCCTAAAAAATTCTTAGAAACATAAAGGAAACAGCAAATTAAGCGTGTTACTCACATTTTGTTATCCCACGATCCAACTATGATCGTTTTTGAGTCCGGCATAATGGCACAAGACGAAAGCGCCTGTCAAAGGAATTAACCTTTTCAACAATCAATTATAGTAAAATAGTCCCGGTTATAGCAGGAAATTATCATTGAGGCTACAACGACGACATAGTCAAACTTTCTGATCTCAGACGTGCGACATATTTCATGCCGATCAAATTACAGAAACAATTCCCGTAGTTGAAAGATGATGTGAATGGCACAGGCATACTCGGACAAAAAGATCTGCGAGTGCTCCCTCTAAGAGTCGAACCTACGACCTTCTGATTCGTACTTCAGACGGTCAAGCACCGAGTCATAGTTTCCGGAATACCTCCGTAGCAATAGAAGTTTAGTATCCCGAAGTCAAAATCACTGGTTTTCTTTCTACGAAGATACACTTACCATTGACGATAGATTGATTCCACGAACTTGCTGTTTGGTTTCTAATGAGTACATCTTCAGTTGTGTATCTGAGGAGCGAGATACCACCAATTGTAAATATAGAGAGAGTCGCAGTTACGCCTTAAATCCCCAAGCTCAGAGCGTAATTCTTCTCCCTAAGGGGCCGCTTGTAAATTAGTTTGGAGAATTTTCTGTCATATAAGGATACTATATGAGGATCCTGTTCCAAGCGTTCACTGAGTTAACGGGACATAACAGAAACACAAAGCAAAATAGGGAGAATGTTTGAGTCGCTATTAGCGATAATCTTTTGCAAGCAATCTGGCTTCTCTTCAGCAAAGCGTTTACCTCAAACATGTTCCATTGACGAATCTAATTTACCGAGCGATTCGAGGTAAACTATCAGAACTGGCTAATTACCCGTCGATCGCAAACAACCACATTAATTAAGACTAAGAGCAGTTACTCTCTGCTGGGTTTGGGCTCGTTTTTGTTGGGAAACTGCCCTCTTTATTTCTCTAGCAGCAATGTTTCTAATTTACCTTGAGAAACAGAAAAGACATTTTTACAGTCCTTTGATAGTCTCACTGATGTAACCGTGCTGAAAAGAAGTAACGCATATGGCATTAGAAAAATATGAAACCGGAAGAACTTTACAAGGATGTTAATCAAAAACAGAACGAAAAACTTGCTATCCCCGATAAAAGCGAGGGACTCTGATTGCAGGCTTTGCACCCGGTGGCTGCTGTTAAGAGAAATCCCCAATTGTACTGACCCCTGTCTGGGATTTACTAGAACAACGGGGATTCACCAAACAGTAAAATGAGCAGTATAATTACTTACGTAAGAGTTATTTTAATTTTTAAAAGAAGTGAACGTTTTAAAGTTGAAGGTGAGAACGAACACGTGAGCAATAAGATGAGTTCAACGTGAAGGAACTTAATTGGAGCATGTAAGAGAACGAGAAACCGCCCACAAAGCGAGTTCAAGCGACTTGTTTGAGGAGGCTATGATCAAACAAAAGCGATAGTACGGAAAAGCCAGACATAAAAAAGTCTGTGTGTTCCCGAGTGCGCGGCAGAGATTCAATTCTGGTTTGAAATTAATGCTTGATATATGATCAATCGAGTGTAATCTATGTCTCATACAGCAGGAAAGGTAGAGTGCTTAATTAATCAAACATTACTCCTAGAAGAAAGAAGAAAAAATGAAAAGAGCTAGTGTTGATGCTGCAGGAAACTATCATAATGCCGCGTTATCTTTTGGCAATTTGGTAAAAATTCGAAAAGCGGTGAGTTTTCATAGTTAGCGCACAGGAATGTTTTCAATTTCGGCAATCTTTGTTGTACAAACTTTTTATCTTTCCGCGATTTATTGCGCTTGAATTTATTTCCCCTGACATAAATAGTTTGTCCGTTACAAGCCAGAGATTAACAAGGAGCAGTGACCCACGTATTGTTTAGAAACAAAAAACCAAACTCACGGTGGGCGTTTGTTTGAAGACAGGTTAACTTTAGACTAATGTCGATATAGCTCATTTGGAGTTTAATATTCTGTTTAGCATTCACGACTGGATGTATTTCATGCATTTCTATGTTCAGCAGCTTTTAAAACAAAAGTTTACCTTCTGTGTTGCGTGAGTTGACTGTTGGTTATATTGACATTCACAGAACAAGATGAAGATTCCCTACATAGGACACACGAGGTTAACATACGCACAGTGCCCCTCAGACATCTTATAACTGGAGGAAATAAGTACCTCGCCGCCGACAGTTTATTGCAGGCTAAAACGTTTTTCTTTTCATTATTTTAAATCAAACTCGGTTACTGTATTTATATTTATCACTCAGACACTTATTCCCTCGAGTGAAAAAAAGAATTAAGATGATGAAAACGCGGTTTAGGATTCAAATCAACCAGCTTAAGTATTAAAGGGTTTTTGTTTTCTTTGTTGGCTTATTATTTGCTTGTTTTGTTTAACGAAAATGGATATTTCGTGCACTGAGACAGTTAAAGTACACATTTAGGTTTTCCTCACATTTTCAATAACATTTTGCATGGACACCAATTCTGTTAGATTTTCAATGTTACAACCGAGTTAAAGAGTTTATGACACATGAAATTTAAAAATGCTTGAAAATAGTCAAAATTTTAAAAAATATATGATGGTTTTCTCCCTAAGAAGGGAAATAGCCTGAAAAGTAACCACAGGTTTTGGATGATAATTTTTCTTAAAATTACCACAATTACGCAAACTTGTGACAGCTTCACAATAGAGAGGAATTTTTAAGAAATATCACAACAAACAAAGGGTATGGGGACAAGTTGTTTTGTTGATCAGAGAGAGCATGAGAATTTTCTCTAGCCACAAACTGGGCAGGTCCTGCCAGTCAAGAGGGGCTTGGCTATACCAGATAAGCCGAAAGTTCTCCAAAGAAACGAAGAAAATGTTAGAATAAAGGAAAGAGAGTCAAATGCCTATCACTCATTTAGAATCGCCAATCTGTAATGTACACATTATCCACTGCCTTCTCGCTAACAACACTTTACACATCACGTTACATGTTTTTTCATATTACATAATTATTCTCACTCTTTGTGTAATTTGTGGCACGTTGCCTGCTGAAGTTTCTCCATGTTAGTCCACTGTGAATGATTATTGCTGAACATTTCATCAAAGTCAACTGAAAGAAAAAGTGTATTTTCTTCAACTCAACACCCAGCATGCTCTGCATATGCGTCT